ATATGGCACCCCATACACAGTTTCTGTAATCAAGAGGGTACTGCCCCAAACTTCACCATTCTAGTTTTGAATGTGAAATATGCCATCAGATTTAAAGGAAGTTGATTGAATTGAGAAAAATCTCGCAGGATCTCGGTTTTAGGTGGAAAAGTACACGGACAAATGAGAGAACTAACTGAAAAATGTGACATAGTTTTTGCCCATATCCATTTCTACTGTAAAAGACTGATTATTGTACCTGCATGAGGAAGAGTAGGTTTCATTCAGTCTCTCGATGAAATGTGCAACAGCAGTTGTGAACATCGGTTAGAAACTCGGTTCATACCAAATTTGATACCCATTCTGGTACTAATTATTGACAATGCATCTAAAACATGAGATTCAGAGAGACAGACTGCCTACATCGAACTCCAATCAAGTGAAAATGAAGGCCTGGCTAATGAAAAGGAGCATCCCCATTTGGGATTCCATATTAACTACATGAATATATCATAACATCTGACAATTTTTATCACTATTAGCTTGATTTGCACAATACCTGCATTGATAGCGATCACTTTTTACAAAATGTGTAATATGATTATTTTTTCTATATATTTTAACCATACTATATGATGTCAACTACAGTTTAATAAAAATAACCTTTTTGTACCACTTGAAAATGTTTGGTGTTGACTAAAACATGAAGTGGTGAAAATAACTGAAATAATATTATTACAGCAGATTACACATTAGGATCCCCTTATTTAAGATTGCTTTTTGAAAGGTGAATGAATTGGTTGCTTCAAGCAGGAAGTACCTTCATTGCTTTAACTTTTGAGGGAAATTGCTTCATAAATGTGTGTTTTTGCAGGCATCGACACAGACAAGCACAAATACCCGATTGGCTCTGGTCGTGTCACATTCAACAACCCACGAAGCTACATGCGTGCTGTGGCAGCTGCCTTTATCGAGATTAAGACTAGCAAGTTCACAAAAAAGGTACAGTATCGTAATGGGCATAGGAGAGCCTTACTATAATTTAGAAATAAATGTTGCTGTTTTTTATGCTGTATTTGTAGTTTGTGGCATACGTAAGTGTTCATCATGTTGATTTCCATTGCTTGTACATGCCTGCTCTTTATATTTTTGTCTGGTCCATTCTTCCTTCTTCTGCAGTACAGGAAGTCATGCTCTCTGTATTTTATACTAACTAAACAAACTAGCTGCCTTAGTTAACCCAAAGGTTCATCACTGTCCCTGTCCTGGACCAACAAAATTCAGTCCCCTTCAACTCCTATCTCTCATATATCCTGCCTGACATCCTCCCATCTGTGTCTAGGTCTCTTCCCTTCAGGCTTCCTGACCAATACCCAGTGCATATCACTTGCCCCCAACCATCTCATTCTTCTCGACTTAATCACCCTGACAATACTGGGGGTAGGAGTACAAATTTTTAAGCTCATTATTATGCAGTTCTCTCCAGGCCCCATCGTCTTCTCCCCTAGTCCCAAATATCCTCCTCAACACCCTATTCTCAAACACCTGCAATCCATGTTCCTGAGAGTGAGAGGCCATGTTTCACACACACGCAAAACAACAGGCAAAATTATGTTTTGTATGTTTTAATCTTTAGGCTCTTAGAAATCGGATGGAAAGGCAAAATATTTTGCTAATTTTTATTAGTCCTGTATTCTGTGTTGAAGAATGTTTAAAGAAGGTATGTTGAACTTCATTATGATATTTTGTTGCAATGATTTTATTTTAATGCCAGACCTCATCTGTTCATATTCTTAAGAAGAATATTAGTTGTAAGATACTAGATATTAACAATGCAGATGTTCATCTTTATTTCTTAAAACTCGGTTTCTTGATGTGTAGATGGTTTTTAGTGAAGTGCCTTGCAGAGTAATAATTAATCAGCACTGATTTAATTCTAAATCCTTTCCACTGTTATTCGTGTGCAGTAGTGACACACAGCTATGGAACTTAGCTAACAGTCACTGCCACTGGCAGTTTTATTGCGATTACAAAGTGGACCTGCCTCCGTACAGGTTCAAGTGGACCCATACCTAGAAGATTCTCTGTGCTCATCCTGCAACCTGCAGCAGGGGCCTTACTTCTGCCGTGAGATGGTCTGTTTCCGCTACTTCTGTCGTAAATGCTGGCAGTGGCAGCACGCGCTGGACTCTATGCAGTCGCACAAACCTCTAATGCGCAACTCAAAGTCATCTGCAACTATGCAAGGCTTCAGTTCTCTTTCTGCTGGTAGAATATGCAACAACTGAGGAAACAGTGCGGTGTGTTGCAATGGAGTGCAGAAATCATTTTATCAAAGAATTTCTATTAATGCTTTAATATTCTAGTCTTTGATAAAACCATGGTCAGAAGAGAAGAAATGGATACAGGAAGTATCCTTGCTTTCATAACACAGATTTTGTCTTTGTTAAATATTAATTAGTAAGATTCTTAGTTCAATTTCTCATAAGATGAGAGAGAAAATAAGACTTAAAATAATTTCCATTCTCACAAGATGTTTAAAAGTTCCTACTATGGACAAAGCAATTTGGTCCATTTTTGTTTATTTATTAGGTAGGTACCTCTATACCATTTTCAGTGTTAGATTGAAATTATTTGAGGAAAGATGTTTTGAAACTTTCTCTGCTGTTCAGTATTATTTAACTGATTACAAAAGTTCACTGCCTTCATCACTCAGTAGTTATTAATGAAGGAGGTGTGGCTGTTGTAAGTAAATTTTGAATAATTTTAATGTTACCAAATTTAAGAAGCATTATAATGAATCTCTTATATATTCAGTTCCCATCTTTTCTTTTGCAGTGTTTTACCTAATTACAAGTCACTTCCTTCATCACTCAGTAGTTATTAATGAAGGAGGCATGGCTACTGTAAGAAAATTTTGAATAATTTTAATGTTGCCAAATTTAAGAAGCATTATGGTGAATCTGCTATATTTTCAGTTTACTTTATTTTTTTCTGGGTGTTTATATTTATTTTCAGTGTAATCTTTTATACTGACTTGTTCAGTGACCAGTGTGGTTTCTAATAGAAGGTTTTATTAAGAATATTTTGTTCATTGGGTTGTACAAAAGAGATGGGTTGAATATACATACATGTACACGGATGACACATATGACAGTACGGACATGATGAAGGTCTCACGATTCTTGGCAATGCATTTTGTGTGATACAAATGTTTATGAAAAATGTTTTATTTAGTTAACGTGTGTGTGTGTGTGTGAGCGCACATGTGCACATGCATATGTGTGTACATTTGTTTGTCCAACTTAATTTTGTACCTTAATTTATTTTGATACTGATCATAAAATTAAAATTATACTTCTGTTGCACTAATACCTCTGTTACACCCTTTTCTTTTATACACACAGTATGTGAACATGTGTTCAGATTGTCAATATTAACTACAGTACAGCTTCAAGTGTTCTATTTAAAAATAGAACAGTTTTCATAATAATCAAGTCTCAATTAATTTAAAGATAAAAGACAATTTTGAATAAGTTTAAACAAGGAAAAGCACTTGTATTGAGTCAAAATTAATAGTTCAACTACCTGTGTTGGTGCTTTCCTGATTACAAACCTCTGAACATTCCTTTCACAGTTCCTGTGATATTAAAATAGGTTTTGAATCTTCATGTACTCATTTTGATACCACTGCAATAAGATTTTTAGACCAGCTTACAGGAAATTGATTCCACATTCACATGTTTGGAATCTTAATCTGTTAAGTGGTCTGATTTTTGTATGCAATTCACAAATCTTCTAATACATCCATCAAGAAGTTTTTCTTTTTTTCACCTGAACTTGCAGGGTAATCCCATATGATTTCCTCTGTTACTCAAAGGAGTCCATCCTTGTGCACAGTTTTGCCCTTCAACTTAAGCATTGGAAGCTTGATACAAGTTTCCCTCACTGTTGTTATTCAGGCCTTAATATACACTAAAAGAATGTTCTTTAAAAAATAGCTAAAGATACAGCTTATGTTAACCTTCATTGTATGGATTTCAATTGTTGGATGGTTTAATGGTAGCATCATGCTACTGTGACAGCCAAATAGACCATGTGTAAGCAAGCAATGATGCACAGCCAATACATGTATTCAATCATGCCATGTTTGATAAATTAACAGAAATAACCCCTTTTCCCCCTCACATAACTACTTATAACTGATTCCCACATATAAATGTTCTTTTGTTCAAAGATGGTTTATAACAATATTAATTGCAACATGTTTCTTTCTTTGTGAAAGTTGGTATGACAATTGTGAAACAAAAAGAACTGGTAATTAGGAATACCATACAGGAGATCTTGTTGAACATGTAGTACTTCTTTGAGGTTAGGTAGGATTTGAGGTTCTCAGTGGCGAGTATAAACATGGCTGTCTTGTGGGTTGTGTGCCATGTAATCTAGTAAAAGTTTTCAACATTTCAGAAGACCTTGCTGCCATCATCAGGGCATTGATGGAGGTAGCAAGGACCTCTGAAATGTTCATAAACTTTTACCAGACTACACAACAACACAACCTAGAAGACAGCCATCTTATTTCCATAAGGTTGCCTTGCCTACAAAAGGTATCATAACCCTACATTCAATGAATACAGAGTACATGTTAAAATAAACATGTAGGGTTTCACAAATTCAGTCTGCATTTATTTTTTTTAAATGGTTTCATGTCCTTGGCAGACTTGATTGGCCATTAGCATCCAGAAGTAAGACTTGAGCTTCAATATTAGGTTCCAGTCTAAAGTTCCTACTTTTCTGGGAAAAGTAACGTTGACATGGACATAGAAAATGCAATAAGCAGTTTTCATTTTGTAATGAACGTAGCTAAATATTCAGTTCCATCTTTATTCATGTTACACAGCTCCTTGCATATATATGATAAATGAGAGTCCACATGACAGTCTACAATATTATGCTGATAATGATATTCACAGAACTTCCAAGTTTGTGGAGGTAGCCAGAATTTCTATTTCCAACTTTAAACATTTGTTTAACCATCCATGAATAGTTTCATTAATTTTTAAAACAATTTTACTAATGTTTTCACTAGTAGTTAAAAAATGCTGATGGTAACACGTATTAATAGCATATAACAATGTATATGATCAGTACTTGTCATTAATAATGCAAGGAGGGAAGCAGTATGTTGAGGTTGTACTGTGTGAAAAATACCGTCCAGTTAAAAAAAAATTGTATTTGAAATGTTTTGACCAAAGCTAGAATCACAGGTGCCTGCTATTTACTGTAGTTTAATCAGACTGTTACAGAACCATTTACACTTCTTAAAAACTAAAGATCAGATTTCCTGCACTGCTACTGCTGATAGTTTTGCGCTAGCATTTGCGTGCAGGCCCTTCCTCTTACTGGTGCTTATTTTTTGGAGAATGGGATAGTGCACATTGGTAATAAACCTTTCATTAGTCAACCTCTTAATGTTAATGAATACTCGGTACATGAAGTGTAAAAGCAAGGTATCTAGTTGGTCTGTATATACTTCAGAAGTCATAGCATCTTACAGCACTTTAAACACTGGATGCATTCTTAAATATGTTGTATTGAAAATTAAATATAATTATTCTTCATTTTATATCCTTTTAACAAGTTGAAGATAACATTCACCAATTTCTTACAGTGGTGACTTGCATAAAGTTGACCGAATGGTTTGCTCATTGTGCCTTTCACCATGAATATGTTTTAGAGTATTTGTGCATGGAAGCTTAAACACTTTTCCCACTGGACATAAAATTAGGTACCAGCTAAGAAGTATTGACCAATTACCAATTTATTTCTCAAATAAAGAAAAGGATGTTAACTGGTGGCCTTTATGTGACCAGAACTAATGTCTGGTACTGAACTGTATATTCCATGCCTCTCTCCCCACCCGAACAACGCTAATGCTCCACTTTTTGATACTTATTCCATTTGTATTCAAACTCTAGAGTTTGTTTTTAAATTTGTTCATCTAAATAATTTTACTGGCTTGTCAAAGAACCACATTTCCCTGCATCATATTCTTATTTGTCCTTCTAAAGCTTCTTTACACACCCTCTTAGTAAATGTTTTTTATCAACATACATGTTGCACTTCATTCACATTTATGAAATGGAGCATATTGGCAACATTTCATAACCAGATTCATAATTAAAAATTCCACATACATCATGGCTCTACATAGCATCTTCCGCATCAGAGTAAGGGTACTTCTACAATGCTAAACTCCCACTGTGTTACAAATACAATGGCTAACTACAGATTGCTTTTTGGTAGTCATGTACTTTCTTTCTTCAATTAAAATAAGCTGTGGCATCTTTTAAACCGTATTAGTATATCATGAATACAAAGATATTATGACTGATCAATCTTTCACCATAATTACTGTCTGAACTGGATTAAAATTGCTGAATTTACTCATGATCACAAGATTATAACACCATATTTTGTGGTGCTCATTATTGTTACATAAAATTAACTTCAAATGAAGAAATGTGTACAATTTTAAAAGGATAATCATACAAAAATAATTTACATTCTACCAATAATAAATACTAAGGAAAGGATTCCCTTTAAAATATATATATTTGTCAAGGATGAGTTTGGAAAATGTAAAGAAATTATATATTTGAGAAACAAGTTTTTAAAATGTCAGAAATAGGTGCCATTGGTCAGTTCCTGGCTTGGGTGTATACAGTACCAGTGTTGAACAACTATCCTACTGGATGGCACTATTTATATAGTGATGCTAGAAAATCGTAAATGCATCTTATATTAAATAGACAAATTTTGAAGTTTACAATCTTTTAAATGCTAACTTTCATTGGTTTTATTTTAACACACTGTAAGTTTATATAATAATTATAATACCAATCCAGTGACTTTTATTTTTAACTGTGCAGCAAATATATAAAAGTGCACATGAAGTTGTGTGAAATGTGTGGAGTTTTCCTTCCATGCTTTTATGGCACAAAATCACTTAGGAGAGAAGAAAAGGATTTTGATAAATAATTCTGATCTCATTTAAAATACCATTTATATAATCTATGCTGTTACTTAGCTTTACCTGAGCTGTAATGTGATTGTAAGAAAGAAATGGTTTTAGTTATATTATGTGATAACATTTGTTGTAAAATGTGTTTTTTGGAGGATTTACATAAGGTTTTCATAAACATGAATGCTTCATGTCAAGATTAGTATATGGTAAAAAGATTTTAGTTATGAATGGGAAGTTGCATTGTAAGGATAAAGGGGGAGGAGGAGGAGGGTGATATAATAATAATACATTCACATACATAATTGGATGTATGCAAGTATGACACTCATTTAAAATACATTACATCAATGATATATGCCAATATATTTAGCAAGGTATTAAATATATAAAAATAAGTGTACCAACTGCTTTTATTATATTTATGAAGACAACTTTTACATACATAACAATAAGTTTTAGATTTTTGCAAGTTTTAAAAACTTTACACTGAAATGGCATGATGACATTTTCTGTTTTCATACACAACCTTTATCACTGAATCCACAAACTGCACCGAGGTTTGAAGCAAAAATAAAACTGCCTCCACGTGTATTGTCAACAAAACTCTAATGCCAAAGTGATCAGTATATGTATGTTAAAATTGATGAATATTTTTGTGTTAAAGCAAGATGCAATTTTTAAAGGTAATTTGAAGATTTTTTTTAATTTCCATAAATGTTAATTATACCTGTTCTTTTAAACTACAGAATGTTGTACAGTGCCTTGAAACGTCTGCGTATTCCTGTGTTTGGTTTATTTTGACTGCACTAAATTAGTTGTTTTTTTGTGCACATATGGGGAAACTGATTTCTACAGACAGTGTACTACATCCGATAAAAAATTAGCTCTCCTACAGTTTCTGTTACAGGATGAAATCATATTTTAACTACCAAACCTCTGTCATTTTAGGAGATGCCGCACTCAAATGGACATTTCAAAGTAATTTTTACCAGAGTTTATCATTTGTGTAAACTGTTCACTTCAAACCAACTCATATCCATAAATTATTAATGTATGCTGTTCTTAATTTTAAATCAACACAAGGGCACACCCATCAGGATAATAGTTTTATACAAACATACAAAGAGAAAAGGCACGATGTCTGTAAAGGGAACCTCCACAAAGATGGCTCAGTCCTTCAGAGTTCCTGTGTGCATATTCCCTGGATCTAAATACTGATGGGGAATATGCATAAGGAAACAACTTGGACAGCTACAGGAAGCAGTAAGCTGCCTTACTGTTATGATGCATGATGTTCTTTCATAAGTCTGATGCTCACTTAGCTTCCACAATACAATTTCAAAGCTGATACTGCATTAACTCCGCATAAACATCACGCTTCACTAGTATTCCCTTACGGTCGCATATCACTCATTAACCTGCTGCCATTGTCAAAGAATTCTACTGCAACAATTAGACACTAAACTCGCTGTTCAGCTCTGACATTCTGATCTCAGTTACAGGTTCTATACTTGCACCAGAATAATGTTTGAAAGTGTGCCCGCATCTCCTACGATGACATGCAGAACTGGTCCCCTATTAAATCAGACTTATATGTAAAGTCGTGGACTATTTTATTTTAGACAAGTTACTGAGATGTGCCCTACTGACATGTTATTACTAACAGTTAAGCTGAATATTAAGACTTAAGTTTGCTGCAGTAATCTGTTAAGGTACAGTTAAATACTTCTTACCATAAAAATATTGCTAAGAACAAACATATGACAAGGGCAGTATGAAACATTGAACTGTAATTATTGTAAAGTTACAGAGAATATAAATAATAGTAACTTATTATATTCTGTAGAGAAGTAAACTGCAGCAGCTCCTTCATATAAAAAGTTGTCCTCATTCAGTAAAACAGTGTCACAGTAATAGCAACAGCTTGTTTATTGCTTTCAGGAAGATACTGTAATAGAAGTGTTCATTATTCTCAAACATTGACAGTTTCTGTGATTTAAATAGCACTGTAAATCCCAAAGCAGTGCTACTGCCAGTGATTTTAAATATTTATGCTCTTATTGTTTAAGGCAGGGGAATGTTTTAAAAAGCCGAAATGAAAATTTCTCTTAAAATAAAGTCTGACAAAAATACACTGCATTATTCTTAATATAACTAAACCTGAATGATGAAAAGATCCAAAATGGAAACAAGCTTTTATAAAGGATGAATTAAAAGTCCACTGTCCTCACACTTTCAGGATGTTGACATTACAATAAGAGTTAATATTGTTTTACTAAAACTATTTCATTTATACATTGTGATAAACATACAACTGCAATAAAAGGTTTACTTGATACTTTAAATTTTAAAATATGGTTTATTAACTCTGAGATCTAACTTAAAATTGCAAATGGTTTAGTTGTAATTTATTTAATGATTCTGTCAGTAGCTAAGACTGTGATGAAGACGAATTGGAAAGCATATGGGAGTGGTCATGGCCTAACTCAAGGAACTATCCTGGCACTTGCCTGGAAAAACTGAGGAAAACCCTCAAGTACACACACCATTCCATAATTCCATAGCTGGTTTTGGGCCAAGATATGAATCTCAGAGCTCCTGAATATGAAACAGGAGAGCAGACCATTTGGCTATGATGTTTGGTCTAATTATTCTTTTCATTTCTTATATATTAATTGTATTATACAGTATATAAAATAATATAATATTCAGTCTTTGACACATTTGTAGGAAGGTATGGGTCACAAAAATGCAGCATAGTACTCTTATTGCAGTGACTGTCAAGTGCGGCACTTAATGGAGGTGAAGCTCCACAGAATCTCAGTCTTAATAACAGATGGCGGTCAGTGGTTGGTTTCATGCTCTGACCACTTTACCCCTCTTCCCCAAGGAAATATATAAAATGATTACAGAACAAAAACTGCTGTTTTGAATACTATGTGATCCTGCCAGCTAGGTATTCAAATACTGGGTTGTTACAGGACTCATTTTAATAGGCCCAATGTTTTTATCAGATAGTCATCATTACAGTAGAAAATTAAAATATACATTCAACTAATGTGAGAAACCCATGCTTCAGTAAGTCTCTGGTATAATAAAGAGTAATTGCTCAGGCAAAACATGGCTTCTATTTTGTCTTTTGGTTTCCTACTATTCTTTGATACAGACTGATAATGGATGTTATAGGCTACTATTCTTTGATATGACTGATACAGACTGATAATGGATGTTATAGTGCCCAGTGCTCCACAGTGCCATTTCTGCAGTTTCCCTGCCCATAGAAATCCACCTGGTAGACAGTTGACGGCTTGAGCTAAATCACCACCGCATCGAAGAACAGTCAGTAGCTGATGACGTTGCTGAGTTACCAGCTGCGTCATGACAGCACTGATACATGAAATGAAAACAAAAATTTACAGTTAGAACTTTAATATGTCCCAGGATCATTATTTTGTTTTTAACAGATTTTACCTGGTGTTACTGATATCTAAATTAGTGAATCCCATACTGCCTGTAAATTCTGGTAACTCCTAATAGGTTGTAGACTTCTGAGGCTGTAGGTGACTTACAGCTGCTTTCCAAAATGATTCAGAACAGTCTTAAAAGTTAGGCTGGGGTCAAGCCTTGTGTGCATAACAGTACCTGCCTGTTTCAAGAGCAGCTCCGCTGTGTCACCTTCCCATCAATACAGGCTTAAAATTGATACCTGTGATTTCCCAGAATGCTGTTCTGTTAGAGTAATGATATATTATCATCACAAACCTCCAGATTTAATGTTATCATTTTGTTTAAAACAGCTATTACTTAATTCCATCTCAAACTATGTGACCATGAAGTTCACTAATTTATGTACTTACTTGGCATCACTGTCAGTGCCATTTAAACAGCTTCTTTGATACTGCAGAATATGCATGCATCTCAGAGCCCTAGAAAAACAACAGATATGAAGCAGTTAGCAGATTCTTGCAAAACGGTCTTACACAGGACAAAGCATATATAGGAAAATATATTAAGTTACTTCTTTATAAAGCCATAACTTTATACCAAATACAAAAGACTGAATAAATGTGACATGGCAATATAAACATTACTCACCAGACAACTATATTATTTGAAAAATATGTATATGAAATGCTTTTACACTCTTCAGTTATGATTCTTCTATTTCCTTAGTACAGAAACACAGAAAACCAAAAATTCAAACTTGTTAATACATATCACCAACCTGTTTGTGTTCTTAATAAAGAAAAGAATGTTTGATAATGAGCCATATGATCCTTTCTTACATTTATTCACTCCCCGCCCAAACAACACACATGCTCCACTCACTTTTTATATACTTATTCCATTAGTGTTAACACTCTACAATTTGTTTACAACTTCAGAGATCTAAACAACTGTACTGACTTGCCAAACAATCACATGTCCTGATTAATGTTCTTTCTTCTTGTCTGACAAAAATATATATGCACATGTGGACATACACTCATGTATATTAAACACATATGCACACACAAGCATGTCCATAATTTTAAAGATCTGAAGATGACCGAACTATGTTCTTACTTTATGAAACTCAGGTACAGTGATACAGCCCAACAGACAGTACAGGCAGTCCACCAAGATGTGCTACGAAGTGAGACAATTCTATGGTCAGATGCCCAGGCAACATGTTCTAACGGAAAATACAGCTGATCAGCTGCATTTATAAGAATTCCAATTATTCTTGTCAACTTATCAGGCTCCTGTAAAGATAATATTAGTAGAGTAACTATTCACTTTATCCCTACAAAATGTCTGCGAACAGGTGTACTATTTTACTCGACCTCTTTTCCCAGTCCGTATGTCAGTGTATAATTTAGCATCGGTATATCGTCAAACAGACGAAGAATAGTTCGGCAAGCACTAAGTTGACCACTTATGGAGTCTAATTTACGTGCAGTTTCTTCAGAAGACACGAATGCTGCAGCTAATTTTGTTGCATACGATAACGTTCTGATCACTTTGTCTCTACCATTATGTGTGCCCAAAAACTTCGACATATCATCAATATCCATTACAATTTATGAAACGCAAACTACCAGTCATTAATAACCATTAGAATCTGTGATCATTACACAGCTTTTTTACATTGCCCAACCAATGACGAAAGACTGTAAATGTAAACGTCATTCGTTACCCTATATTCATTTATTCATACATCCATTTCATAACCTATTTACATATTGAATTATGAACCATCGAATGATAACAGGGAAGATGATTAAGACTATCGTGTTTGGGCAAAATCCATAATTCAATATGTAAATAGGTTATAATATGTAAGTATGAGTGAATGAATGATACGAGATGTTTCGAGAGCAAAATTCAGAGGCCATTTCTCACCCAAGACTCTCCTGATTCACTGCTTAACTGCTAGATTGCTCTGGCAGTCAAATCAGGTGTGAGTAGAAATTGTGCAGTCAGTGGACTAGTCAATCACTACTCCTAAATGCACGCTCTAAAGACTATGAAACCTCCGAAAGGAGGCCCTATGCTCCACTTAGGAGATACAGGAACTAAACTTTCTTTACGACTCACGATATTACTCAGTTCATAATTTGTACAGATAATGCCCTACGCTGCTGTTCCTTGTTTCCGTGACGTGAAATTCTTCCTAAACTTAGTTACGCTTGGTCTGCCTCACTGTAGCAGTTTTCGAAGAGTTCGTACATAGGAACTGTGTTTAATATGAAGTCATCTACAATCTCTGTTCCCTAGCAAGAAAGTTTGTTTGTCGTGAAAGTGTGCATTACTGACTATTTAGACTTCGTCCATCTTCTGGCCTTCACATTTTATTGACATTATCTTCACCAGTAACAGGCGTTGGATTCATCACAGCCCGAAACCACCGACTTCCCAATAGTTTTATGACAGATCGGAGTAGATGGCAGCACAATATAAACGTCACTCATTGAGTTTCACTGACAATGAACAAGATGTAGGTAAATTGTCATTAAGGAATGTCCCATGTACTGTACTCTGTGGAACAGTTGTGCCAACCTAGAACTAATAATCGGTATTTTTAGGTTAAGTTACTGTTTGGCTGTCTGCATCGGCTAGTTGGTGGGTAGAAAGTAGCTCATATGTGCCGGATCGTGCAGAGTGCAGACAAGTGTTCATGATTTAATGTAGCTATTATTATTGTATTTTATTCTGTATAATGATGATCCGGTATGTACCCTGGAAAGGATGGCGTGTTTTGTTCAGGATCAGTAATCCAATGCAACCTTCAAGTTCTTCTGCTCCAGCCACTGTTGGTCTCCGTCTTACTCCATGCTCAGAATCTACAACTAAGGTAGTTGGAACTTCAGTTGATGTATCATCGACAGTTGTCTCGGCACCAGAGGATCAGACACATGACACCAGTACATCAGAATCCAAATCAGTGCATGTAGTAAACGAGAGAAAAAGTAGTATAGTAGCTGCAGCATTTGCTTCTTTAAAAAGAGTCGAAGTACCCAAGAAATCAACCCAGTCGCTACATGAAAGTATTTCTGCAGCAGATTCAGTGGAATCATTGCTGTCTATAGCGGAGTCACCACTGGTGTCACGCAGACATGCCTTACAAATTGTTTCTCAGCTTGCTGATTGGACTGCTAGTGGGCATGTCAAGCTGTCAGACTTTGAAACAGATACTCGATTTCTTAAGTTGTGTCGATTATTGGGTCGTGGATTACCTCATGGTTCACCGACGTTGTGGAAGGAAGCATCAGGGAATGGAGATCTGGCCGTTGTGCTTGGAGTCACAGGAGAAGACAAAGCTGCCAAGCTTGTGGCAGGCATCTCTCTGAGTCAGATGATTAGGGTAAGCGAAAATTTATGTGTAAAAATGGAATTGGGGTACGAAGTATTGATTTTAATAGCATGTTGTGTCAGGCAGGAATAAGTTGCAAGTGAAGAATTTATGATTTTAAGAAGATTGTTTGATTGGAGAGAATAATTTGGGTAATTTTCATAAGTAAAAGTGTAAACAAAATTCAGTGTCAGGTAGGTAAGAATGAGTACATTTGTAGTTCTGATTCTGTGCCCCCTTTTTCATCAATATGTGCCACCTTACCTGTGAAATGCTATCTACCACATTTGTTTTGCAAAATTGAATACTGACTAACTGTCTGCATGTCATGTATAAGAAGAAAAATAAACAATAAAACTTATCACAATGTTTTAGAAATAGGAGAGACTGAGAAAAAACATGAGCTTGAACCTTTTTAGCTCACATCCACATAACAACATAGACTTGATTCAGAATTTCTTTTATTTGTATTTATTAGATCCAACACAGACATAGTGTAGAGAATTTATAGTTTGTGGAGTTAAGTGAGATGTAAGCAGTAATTAAGTGTGTTTACTTTTTAACTGGTCTTATGCTGTTAAGCGAATGTCTGATAAAATATAGTGGTGTTTTATGTGTCTCTTTTGTTAGTGTTTTGTTTTTTAACACTCACTTGTTCCACATCCTGATCTGTGATGTACAAAATGCATAAAAGTAATATAATTTAAAAGTAGTGTAACCTGACCTGTAATTGGACAAATACAAAAGGATATTCAATAAGAGAACTTTGTTACAAGCACATGTCTTCCAATAAGCAGAATTGGTCACCATATTGTTATAATATGCTATAAAACACAATGTTCACAGCACTCACTCATGATTTATAATATTTAGGTGAATAGAATAGAATTTATTTACATTCCATGGATCCTTCATAGGCCTAAGCCAAGGATGTAGAACAGGTCATAGCACAAATACAATACTAGTTTCTAGTACAAATAAAAAAATACATAGTTATAACAGCTATTGACAGATTTTTGGAACTACAGTATTACAGGAAAATAATTATTATGAGAACCGGATATTATGATGTTACTAGTTGTTTTAACAGATCTTCACTAGCTCAGTGGAGCAGAGATGCTATTAGTTACTGAGATAGTCAAGAAATTGCCTGCCTTTTATGCAACCTGAAAGTTTATTTTGATGTTTACACAAACCACACCCTTCAACTTTTGTTTCTTTAAGATACATTTTAATATTATCCATCCAACTATAATTAGTTCTTTCCATCATGAACAAACAGATCAGTTTTAATAAATTGTATGAGAAGTCCATTACCATTGTTACCCTTACCATGCACAAACAACTGTGGCATATTCTGGAACAGCAAAATGACTGACTGCAGTCTGGGCATATGCTGACAATGTCCTCCTTACTATGGCATTCGGACTGGACCCAGGGCCAGCCCTGCCTCCAGTTCAGTGGGTATTGTCTTCTATTCATAAGGGCCAAAATTTCATACTGCTCCCTTCCCTTTAGAGGGGATAAGCTGTAAAACATGTGGAGCTTTACTGCCACACCCTCAGTGGGCCTCTGTGGTGTGGTGTAGTAGGAAACTTTGCCTATTACTTTCACCTACAACTAATTTATCCTGGTGGTTCTCTAAAGGTCTGTCATATTTGTTGATTTATTGAACCAATGTTACATTGAACATTATTTGTTTCCATGAGTATTTTTATGTGATATACACCATGTTCTGGTAGTTGGCTGTACAGATGATTTGTTATTAATATAATGATGTATTTTTTAAGATTGCTGGTAGCAGTTAGGATTGAATTAAGGACCTAAGTGAATTCAGTTTTGGGTGTAGAACAAAGATTAAAATGTGTTAAGCAAAATACCAAGTGATTTAGCTTCATAGGTGTGACAAATGTTTTCAGATAATGTCATCATTGGCACAGAAGCAGCGTCGCTCAACACCATTGCTGCGTTCATTGGCGTTCAACTTGGCAAGACAGAGAGAGAAATTTAATATAAAGGACTGTGCTGACTTGTTGTATGCTATGGCAACACTAAACTTCCCAGATGACTTGTTGCTAGAGAAGACTTGTGGAGATCTCTGTGAGTGTGTAGAATCCAATCACAGGCCAGCTGTCATTGGTTCTATCCTGACAAGTCTTGGTCTTCTAAGATATAAAAACACAGGTAAATGTCAGAATGTTTTCTGTTTAAGCACATTCATAGCCAAGTCTGATTATAGGTTGTGTTGTGTAGACTTGTGGGTCTGTGCCATTGTTCTGTAGGAACATGCTACATTCCTCTTCAGGGTTAAAGTGATTGTGACTAGGATGTTTATAGGTTATGTAGGAATTGGTAGAGGATTTGACCAGTGAACACAGCAAGATGGCTAACCATAGCCATGGGTGGGGAGATGGAGCCTAGTCTGTGCTTGTAGAATTGGGAAATAGGAATGACCAGGGGAGAAGATGTCTTGCTCCTAGAGAGACCCTTCAGACCTTTCATTAAGGTATGAATGTGATACTTCCATGATCTCCTCATGGAGAAGCGATCGATCCCCTCTGTTCGTGTTGTTATGAGCGCAGCCTCTCTATGTTGCTTCCCTGACAGTTCTGTCCGTACATCTGGATTTCTTGGCCAGGATACTGTCGACATTTTGCAAGATACTGTGGCCCAAATTAATGCTAAGTTCAGCCATGGATGACAAAACCAGATATGGCAATGGTGCTCTTTAGCCCTGGTCTGAATGTAGAAAGTTAAGTGCTTGCACGCCCAGTGTTTTAGGGCTTGGTCATTGGAAACTGGAGATTTTATTTGCATGATGCTGCCATATTGATGATGTTCTTTTGTGGCATCATACTAATGTGGTGGAAGGTGGTCTTAAGTGATGACAGTTAAGGTGAGATTGATGACTGAGCTGAATTTTATGTGCTAATTGATGATTTTAGTGATTAAAATGAAATCCTGTTCTACATGTTGTCTGGGTTAGCAGATGAATTGTACTGGAACTAAAGAATATTTTGCATATGATTTTGGATATAAATTTTTTTTTAATGTGTGATTCATTCTTTGCTTATTTAACAACACTTCTTCAGCTCCACTGAGTATGTATTATCAAGTGATAGGGTGATTTGTGAATGACTGGTAAGGCTGGAAGAAAGCTGCTGTGGCCTGTTTGGTACAATCCAAGAGGGACTGGGGAAAACCAGGGTGACAGAGGAGGAAATATGTTTTATGCTGGGTTTATTTGTACTATTGGGCTAATTCAGAAGCCTGCACTCTGATCACATATCGCCATAAAGTGGTTTCTCTCAACATTCAATTTTTGTGATATAATCACAAGAGAACACCTGGAACTGATACATCATTTTCTTCATTACGCTGATGATAAAAACAAACAACATACGAGTGTCAACATGCTTTTCAAGATTTTTAGTGCAATTTTACATCTAAATAAGAATTTTCAGGATTTGTTTCTGGAAACCAAGACATATCTGTAGATTGTAGATGAATCTATTTAAGTATGGAAAGATTGTCTGTTATCCAGACACTGCCAAATGAGAAAAATCCAAGGTACAAAGATGTGCACTTGTACAGATTATGGAAATGGGCAAGCATGATGTGTTTGTATAAAGTGTGATATCAAACTGCTACAGATGGCTTTACATCTAGAAAAATCTACTTGTAAAGTATGCTAACTGAATTTCATGTGCATCTATTCACTACATCTTCATCAATTTGTTGAGGAAATCACACAGCTTGCATACCAGATATTGAATTGTAATTGTAAGTGAGAACTTCAGGCCTTTAATATTTAAATCTCCTACAGCCATGGGGAATGGACCTTTTAAACATCTGCTGTAACTGAAGTGTCATATGCCATGTTTGTATACTGCACTGTGGCACTATATTTCTGTTAATAAGTGGCATCATCATGCAGACGAGAATGTGTCGTTGTTAGTGAAGAGTGGCAGTATTTATGGTGGTGTATAACCACTGACTCAGATGCGTATGGATAGAAAAATAAAATGTAATGTGATTTATGAGAGCTGAAAAATTATGCTGTTTTGGGTTGCTATACCAGTGATCTGTTAGATTAACATGTACGTACCTGTGTAGCCACACTGTATGAAAATAGGACGCTTGCTTTAATGTATTGTTTCCGCTTGGATGTGAGTGTGTGGAGTATGGTTAGTGTGTATCATGGAATGTGAATTAATTTAAGAAGATTTTGTAAGACTTTCAGGGTAGCTCAGTCAGTATAGTGACTGGCTAAGGACTGGATGACCGGGGTTTGATCCCCGATGGGGGCAGAGGATTTCTCCTCTAGCCTCTGCCAGAGTCCAAACTCAGCAGCACAGGCTGAAATGATTGTGTTAGGACGTTGGTGGCGTTGTAAGGTTACATAGTAAACAAGAAAACATGCTGAAAGTTTCTGATGCAGATTGCTGTTCAAGGGTATATAGTCTACTTGCAGCACACCAGCACACATCCATCCTACTCTTGGCCAATGAGTGCAACAGTCAAAGAACAGTCCGTAGAAGCCCCGTTCACCTGACTCATTGGAATCCAGTGGATTGCGTAATGCAACCATTGAAAAGTATTGTTTCCAGTATGGCATCTTGTCATTGGTGAACTGCTGGATAATGTGTATTGGATAAGAATGTGACTGCTGTGCATTACTGTAATTTAAAACAGTACAGGCATATTATAACAAACTGTTGTTTCCAATTCAAATACCATCAGATACAGTAATCAGTGAATTTAGTCTTGAATTTGGTCTTCAGTGCAGATGTTGAGATGAGGAAGAACTTGCCAGGTACTGACAGTTGTTTTCTGTTATCAGAGGTCCTGGATGCATTGGTAGACTGGGTGGTGTGCCATGTAGATGTTTGCAGACCACATGATTTGACAGCCTTGCTCCTGACACTGGCCACTGTATTCCACACACCAAGCAATGCTGATCATCTCTTTAATGTAAGTTTGAAAGATGTTTGGTGTTGTTGGTGCTGGACTTCCAGGCTCTGCTTCCAGGGAGGTAGTTTGTTGGTTAGTTAGTTAGCTGAAAGATGTATGTGCATTAGCCAAGTCCCCTTGTCAGTGGCTCCCAGAATTGTGTAGCTGCTAACAAGAAATACCTTGGAGGCATCTGTGTCTGATATGTCTTTGTGCCATCAGATTCACTTCTGTAGCCACCAAGTACTGCATAATGCAAGTGGCAGAATTCAGAAAAATATATACTCTGTTGAGCGTTATTATTGACTAGAATAAAAGTTAAACTCTGGCCTGGCTGTAGTAAGCCTCCCCTCTCCTTTTGGTTCCTGCACTCTTGCCCGGTGCTCGTTTTCTCTCCCGCTGCTCCGGCCATGGTTCTGCCGTAATTGACCGATTCTTATATCTGAAAGTGATCCCTCACATATGGCTTACTCATCGCCACCCTAATGATGGAGGCAGCAAATATCTATGAAATGTTTGTAACCTTCTGCAACTCAGAAGACAGCCATCTTTACTTCACATTCATTCCCAACTTCTTGTACTGTAGGGTCGACCTTGTTACTGGGATGCTTATTCGTTATTATGATGTTAAGGTATGACTGAATCTGTTGATGAAATTAATGAATTTACTAGATAGTAAGGCAGCAAATCATGTTTCAGGTGATATTGCCTCATGTGACAGTGCAAGATCTGCCAAGTCCATCGGCATGGCTGGATGTGGTGTGGTCCCTCGTTGTGCTCGAGCAGGCCGCTACGCAGCACGTAGCCTCTGTACTTGATCCTAACTTCTGCATCAAACTGAGTGTTGATACAGGTCTGTCTACTGCCAAATTTGAGTTCTCATTATTTTATCAGAGTGTGCCATTTTAAAACATGTTTTATAAGTTGACTCAGTTTACTGGAGAGATTTAATCTCAATGCGTGGGTACCAAAGAAAAGCACCATAGAGTAAAAATCACAAATTGATGTTACTGTGTTTAAAGATTTTGGGTTGAATGTTAATTTAGATAAATGTGTGGTTACAAAAAGATAATGTAATAATCATGAAATAAAAGAAGTGGAAAGCTTTAAGTAATGTGGAAGTAAAATAATGAGTGATGGAAAGTTTAACCTCTTGCGATATCTCGGGTTTATTTTTGCAAATAAGTAAGTATATTTCTGTGTGTGTGTGCATTTACTTGAGTTAATTCAGGATAATATTGTTTGTTCCTTTCTGTTATTACTGAATTGCGTTATTTTGGGAAATAACTGAGTGTGTGGTATTCGGACAATAGTGTGTGTGGTCAGTGGCGCATAACATTTGTTTGAATGAACGTTAAGAGGTTTAAGATAGCTGTCTTCTGGGTTGTAGCACTGTGTAATCTGGTAGAAGTTTACCGACGTTTCAGATGTCCGTGCTACCTCCATCATCAGGACAATGAGTGCCAGGAAATCCTCAAATCCTACTTAATCATAATACTTTTATAAACAAAATGTTGTACATTACAAAAAAAATTGCTTCAAAACACAGGCCATACTTTTATTTTTGTGAGTATAAAGATGAAATAAAATATATGATTTTTTTAATCATATTATCAGGAAAAAAAAGAGTAAAGGGAAGCAGTTAAAGAAGAAACCACAGAAATAATAAGATACAAGAAAATTGTACCACTATTGAGGGACATGCTGTGGGAACAAGAAATGCGTATATAAAAGTTACTACATGCTTGGAGCAAAAATGTTGACATGGACCAAAGCAGTTACCAGATTAATAGCAGCAGAGATGCAATTTTAAGAAGTACATAAGGGAAAACCAATAGGGGTAGAATAAGAAATTAAAAAGTTAGAATCTAATGTTAAACACCTTCGAAGATAGACTTAGAACACAATGAAATGGTGCGGACATATTTTAAAAATAAATGAAGATAAAATTCCAAAGAAGGTTTTGATGAAGATGAAAACTAAAGGAAGACACCCAAGAGGGAGACTAAGATCAAGGAAGATGTGACACAGAGGGAATGAACAGGGAGCAGAATTCAGTGGGACGTCAGTGTCTGGTCTGCACTGATGATGGTCGATTGTTGGCCACAAACGGGATGATGATTGTCGAGCTATCAAGAAGTTCTCTGTTGTCTGTCAACTTGAGTAACTATTGAGGAATGCTGTTAGCTTCTCATCCGTACCATTCACCCATACAGGCACCTCTCTAAATACCATGTGTCTGTATAACGGTATACTGATATATTTCTGGTTAGGGTGTTTTATTGTAATTATTTTATGTTTGTTTCCAGATGGAAAAATGAGGATGAATGTGGCATCAAAATTGAAGCTTCTAAATATAAATGCAGCTGCACAGTTAAAAATCCCAGGATACAAAGGTTTGTTCATATGTCGCTAACATCAAATTTTCTATGTACAACATATGATTTCTTACTACAAGTAATTGTCTTGTTGTCATATGAGTATGAATATTGGTTTGGTTCACGAAGTGAGCAGAGTTTCCACAGTTGTGTAGCCTAAGCACAATAGTTGTTATTTTTAAAGTCCTGTGTTTTGTTGGAAGAGAGGCATGTTTTGGTATGATGTTTGTTTGACAGGAAGTTTTAGTTTCATTTGGGCAGAAGAACGGGTAGCCATACTTTTTTTTTAGAAAAAAGTTTGTAAGTTAATAAGATTGAATATAAATGAACAAGCCATTTTCAGCTTAAGGATTCCAGAAATTCAAATTGCATTGCGTGCGTATGAGAGTGCAATGTTGTTGTTGGGGAGGTGCTGGAATGTTAGACGTAACAAGGTCCAGAACAAGAATTCCGCAAGCTCAAATTTTGTCTTAAGTTAGGTTTTCCTGACTTATTAAAACCTCCATACAACAAAACTGGAGACTTGCATATTTGGCTGTTTATGTTAATTGTTTATTCATTCTTGGCTTGTTTAATGAAACATTCAGTTGCTCGTACTATATAATGTTGAATTTTAGGATGATCAGTGAATAATGAATTGCAAAGGTTGTGGAAGGAAGTGGTTGTTGTCTGTTTTTATACTCTGTCCCGGGAGGGACTAAGAAAATACAAAGAAAGAAGAATCATCTTATTGTCAAGTCTCTGTGCTAAAATTTGAACTTGGAACTTCCTGAATATGAAACAGGAGTGCTAACCATTCAACTGCAATGTGTGAGGGTTGTTTTGTTTTTTGTTTTTAATGGGGATTCTTTGTTCATATATTTTGTGATATTTGCCAATATACACAAGAACATACTTCGTAATAACTTACACATTAATCATTATATTGTGCATTATTTTCTGCTGTTTTTGCTAAAATAATGTAACTTTGAAGTAAGAATTGTGGCCGGGTTATTATGGAAAAGTCTGGCTAAAAATCACCAACAGACTAGTAAAATTCTCAATGTTATATTTCCAAAAACTTGTTAACAGTGTTGCCACATGTATCAAAATCAATGTTCAAAATTTGCTTCATACTCTTCACACTAGATGGCAGCACTGTGCAGACCAACAGAAATGTATTTTTGTTCCTCGGAGAGTAACGTTTATTGTCAGTTATTCTTTGATGTGGTCTCAAGTCAAATGTCACACCATAAGGGTTAAGAAAGGAAGAAGCTTTACAGTAGAGAAAACAAAGATCACTTACCGGAGAGCAAACACGAACGTTGGTGATATGATAAAGCGGTGTTCACGCGTTGGCCAATACCATTGTACGTCACTGCTAAATATTTAGCACTTTTGCTTTGTATTTAGGAAGACCCAGGTTCTTATCTCAATCAAGAGACCAGCTATCTTGACTTGAGATTTTTGTAGTTTTTCTCACTCATTCCATGCAAATCCTAGGATTCCGTCTTACATTAGCCAACAAGCGCTGCGTTCCATATATTTCCCAGTTCATTGCTCGTTGATCACCGTATGACTCGAGGCTATATAGTCTGAGCTACTGACAGCATCATTAAATGAACCACAATTAAATGTAAATAAATGAATCTGATACTTTACCATGATCGAACTGAATCAGCCTAACTTGCATGGCTATGATAAGAGGAGTCTAGTTTACTGCTGTGAACATTAAATGACGAACAGTGCAGTGAGTTTTCTTCAATCAGTGTAGAATTTATGTTCGTTGGTTATGTATGAACTACGAAAGTTGGTAAATTCTTGTAATTAACTCTTCACTTAAAGATGGTTCCTGCAGTAATACTTGAAAAGGGCCACATGTGCTGTCTGAATTCATTATCCAGTGTTCATCACTGCGTGTTCTCAATGCGGTTACTTATTTTCAGGTCCATTGCTGCCATCTGATTCAGATGTCCACAGCGTCCCGCTTACTCGATCAAGAGAGAAGCAGCTTCTTGTTGCCTCCATCTTGGATTCGTTCTCAAACCTTCTCCCTTCAGCAACATATCTTCGCAGCAATATAGATACTGGAATGGGATTCCTCCTAGGTAATATTGCATTTCATCTGCTAGCAATTTGTCATCTTAAAACCTTGCATACTGTGCAGTGTTGAATATTTATGTAAAATGTATAAAATCATGCATATGAACAAAACTGTTTACACTTTGAAAAAAACACTTGGTGCCAAACGTGTTTCGACCTCAAGAGGTCATCATCAGTGGCAAAAACATTAATTCATTAGTCTGTCTATTAGATCATACAGTTCGTAAGATGATGGTTTGTTATGTTTTGAAGATGGCTGTCTTCTGGGTTGTAGCACTGTGTAATCTGGTAGAAGCAAACATCTGTCATATTCACTATGATGAGAACCTCAAATCTTATGTGCCAACACTTAATGTCACACCACAAGGCAGATTAATAAATATAGAGAAGTGTATGCTGACTTATTTTGTACATCCCCCAAATAAAATTAAATATTTAAGAAACTCGTTA